CCAGTGTCGGACTATGGATCTGACACGTTCCCAGATGTTTCACCTACATTCTCATTTAGTCTAGCCAGTCATGGCAGCAAGCTAAAACTGTTCAGAGACAAGAAGAATCCATCCATTTGGCACCAATTGTTAGGCCTAAAGTCGCTCAAGGAGGAACTCCACTTGTCCCCGATGCGTTGTGGACTAGTGCTAAGATTGACATGACTCACTGACAATGCCGGCGAAACGTCTACTAATGTACCAAGCTCTCGACCCTACTATGGAAATTATCATTTCTACTTCCGCAGAGAACTTCGTAAAAGTTGCATTAATTAAGGTTTTCTTTACATCACCACTAAGTTGTGAAAACGGGTCAAACGACTTCTATGTTTCTTTAAAGGTTTAAAATATCTTGATATCCTCTAATGATGAAGCTTTTATCATCATTGATCTTTCTATCGCTAATATTATTTTTTTTTGTATATATTTAAAACTTCTCTATAACAGTCAACTCATTTAGCCCCGTTATTGGTTCTGAAGAATGGCTACGAAATCCTTTATAAATATTTTATTAATATAAATGTATTATTTTTTCAGAACCCAAGGCACTTTTTATAAGTAGTTTAGGGATCGCTTAGCAGTTTGTCTAGGTTCCGCTTCAAAATCTGCATTATATCATTTAGGCGAACTTTGAATATCTATATCGAATATTTATATAATTTTTGTTTAAATAGGATATCAATCTTATCCTTTATTTTGCCTCATAGCCGTGCTTCCCGACGATCATTTCGGCCAGATGATTGTTAATCTTTTCGGATTTAGAAGTCGTGCAATGACTAGTTATCGCCGACTAATGTACTGGGTACCTAAACTGCGTCACATCAATCCATGGCCAACTCCTTTTACTATTCCTGATGACTTTGATCAACACCCAATGCGTATCGCCCTGCTTGCTGCTCGGCGATTGTGTCCCGATAGGTACACGGAGTTTTCGATTATAAATGTACGTATATTTTTATGATATATGCATATGTTTATCGATAGGCCTTAGAAGGGCGCAAAAATAATCATGTTTCGATTATAAAAAGAAACCAACTGTGATTCTCGGTTTTTCTCGATATCTTTCCCATAGTGAACAAGCGGATAATTTCCAAATCTCTAACCTACTTAAATCTACATTCCTGTCATTCCTAGTTCGGTGATTTAGTTGGCATGTATTTGGGTTGCCTGGCATATTTAAGTTTTCGATTCCGTTCATTCTGTTTATTTTAACAATTATTATGCTGTGACAGGTAATCTACCATGCCTATCATTTTTAAGTAAGGAGGTTGTAAGCTCATAATTATTAGCCAACTAGCATGTTCTGTATTTAGCTACCATCTTTTCTCAACTTACTAGTATGTGTATACAAGTATCGGCTCATTGAGATTGGAAGACTGTGGGTGACTTCTACTGCTTTGTTAACATTTTTAACACCATATCCCGTTTTATTCGAGGACCACTAATTTGTATACATTATGAAAGGATTTTCCTATTTCTCCTTTAGTTCAATGTTATGTATTTGTTCTTGTGTGTATATATGTATGCTGAAAATTGAGCCTCTTGGTAGAATAAAAGTATTCGCTTAATATGGAACAAGTTTTCTTTATGTGAAGTTATTTACTTGTCTGTAACTGGTGTAGGCGTCAAGCTAGCACTTTGGTTTCCTTGAATGTGTGTTTCTTGATCCACCAAAATGAAGTAATAATATAACCAGCTTAGAGCCATAATATTCACTCTGTGCATTTTGGTTCAAGAGAGAAAGCTAGTTCTGCGTCATTTGCCATACAATCAATGATGAATTTCGGCATCGGCTTGCTGAGCTGGTACATTCCCAGACATTCATCGGCATCGTCAGTGAGAGGTGCCATCTTTAGCACGGAGTTACAACTCATTTAAGTGGCGTATGATAAGTCATAAATCTGCTAAGGATGCTACCTCTCACTGAAGATGCCTGCGAAAAATCTTGGCCTGTACCCATTCACTGGTCATATGCTGGAAATCTTCATGAATTTTCTGACAGAGGACGCAGGACTAGGTACGCTCCACAAAGTCTCTGTTGCTCCGACCGATTTGCGACAACAAGGTCAAACGGATTCTTTACTACTAAGCGAGACTGCGAGCAAAGGAAAGGCGAATTATCTTAGTATTTATATTTGCGATTTAAACTAATATTACTTAGGAATAACTCTCTAATCTTAAATAAAAATAACATCAGATTAATAGGGAATGCATTTTTCCATTAGGAATATTTGATAATAGATGTAAAACAGATATCTTTTCTTACTTAGTTATTGAATAGGTACGAAGAGAAACTGGGTTTCGATGAATCTACTGAGATAACATTGTTAGGGGGA